ACTCAGTGGAGACAGTCTACCACTAGCCTGGCGAATAAGTTGGTAGAGCTTTGAATAACGAATGGTTCCATCGTCGCAAGCGAAAACATCCACAGCGTACCATCTGGAGTGGGCACAGCACCGGTGACTTGGACGTTCAGTACCTGATGGCTAAACAGGCTTTGTTGCACCTACTACTCACCCGTCTGCGAATTTCACGCCTGGTCTCGTTTCCTATAAAGGCCACTAGGAGGACACGTCAGTGAGAAAGCCATAAAGGCTACACTGAGAAGGAGTCCTTACAGACTGACTCTCGGTTCTGACAAGGAACCTTCTAACTCCCGAACGCCTAGCGCTTTCGAATAGGTTTCTCCTTTATGGATATGGTTTCTCCTACCGTTGGTCTCACTCTCTTCGCCCTCTCGTACGTCAGCCGATTGTCGAAGGATGTTGATCAACTGGTTATATGATTGAGCGCTTAAAGTGCGTGAATAGGGCAAATGAAGACTGAACCAAAGCCAGCTTCTTAGCACGTCGTCTGTGAGATTTTCCAAAGAACCTTCCGTTAGGTGGCCTACTGCAATTGAATGGCTCTGTTGAAGCAAGTGCCTGTTTAGCTATCGATACTAGCCGCCAGGGCTTTTATACTCCTATAGTAAATGAATGTGAGCTGGTCGAGAAGGCAGCGCAGAACGTCCTCCTATGTGCATTTGACGACTTTTTAGTTTTCATCGTTCCTTGTGCCTATAATAAGATAGTCTTTACTAGCGTAGCGGTTAACCTTTAGGCAGTGTGGTAATAACAGCCCCTCGGACAATATATTTTTGCTACATTAGTCTCTGCTTTTTCACGATTTATTAGTTTGCCGTTTAAACAGATTTACTAGTTAAGGGCGGCCATGATGTCCAGTCCAAATGCTTTACCGTCATGGATAATTAATGCATCCCGACATTGATTTTTGACATTTTTCTCCAGATAATGTCTGTTGCCTTTGACCTACTGTGGCGTTTCGGATAGCAGTCGTCTTAGAATTAGTGTTGTTGTCTCGTGGGCTTAATTCATTGTCCGCCTTAGTACCTAGCTTATTATGACATCTTTAGTGCTTTGATATTTTGACGACGACATAATGATATGAAGCTGTTGGTGCGGCCTTATTGATAGTTTCAAAGCAGCACGCGAATGCAGGGACACCTCGATAAAGTGCCAACTTAGTTATACTATTTAACCTACCTGCTAACTATCGCGGGCGTTCGTAAGTGGTGGGTAGAAGAATGCCCCTCGGGTAAAACTGACTGCGAAATAAGCAGCCGCTTGCGTCCGTTAAAAAGACAGCCGCGGACCAACAGTTACAGCATTGCTGAGTGCTTCAACAACACTGCCACAGGACGACTGTAAATTGCTGCCGAATAAGTTCCCTTAGAACAGATGTCTTGGGGCTAGGGTCCACAGAAGTAAGGCGCTGGATTAAACACAACCTGGCGTCAGTAAAGTATTGTCCGCTGAAAGAAATATCCGAGGAAATTCGCATATCTAGTTGCTGAAAAGGCTGTGGCAGCAAATATCGTGGCGTTTATGACGCGTTCCATAGTCCAAGCTAGAAGTGTCCTTGAGTAGTATGCCTTTCGGACAACTTAATCTAAAAAGAAGCCTCAGCATTGAATATCGGAATGTGCGAAGGTTCGTTGACCCTAGTACTCAAGGATCGAGTTCGCATATTTTCTCTTAATTTGAGACGAATACGCGCTGCCGCATTCAGCACGATTAACAAAAAAACACTCTCGTAAATACAAGAACTGGTTGTAAACCGCTCGATGAGGACTGGCCAGAAGACAAAGAACTAGGCCATTGCCAAAGCAGACAGTAAAAGATAGACAGGGGAATTCTCTAATGAAGCCAATAATACTACTACAACTATCGGTTGTTTATAGCGCAGTCTATTTAGAGATGGCCGTATCAGCGCGTAGGGCTTCAAGATAATTTCGGGCAAATTAACTGAATCTTCTTCGAAACTACTCGAAAACAAATACAACCGGCTTCCACGTAATCACAGAAGATTTCGCGTACGGGAATTTACTCCAAGTGATCTCATACAAGTAAACGCGGAATATGATTCAAGTTCAGACTTTCGAGTGTTTTATAGCTCAGAAAAACAGTAACTGTATCAATTCACATTTTTTGGGTGAGTTCCAGATAGAAGGAAGCAAGCAGATACAAAGGCAATCTTTTAAATAAAAATAATCTTAAAAAATAAAGTTCATAGTGGGTGTGCATTAAAAACTGACTATCACAGTCAAAGGCAGAAGGCAGCAGCTGAACGCTGACAATCGGCGTATAGAAGTACCGATTTCAGCTGGCAACACATCAACTCACTGATTCTCTCTCTTGTATAAAAATCCGTCTCGAAGGCATGGTTAACTACACAAACGGCAAAGTCAAGGCAGTCGTAGTCAGACTTCTTTTTACGCGAGCTTTCCCCGTGATAATAGGCAAGTAAAGCTGCTCTCTGTGCATCGGCCACAGACATCTGCTTGGTTTTTGCGTCGTCCATGCATTTCTGGATGGACAGCTCCCAGCGCTCATCAGAAACGCCCTCGGAATCGGAAATAACCACGAGAATAGACTGCTCCCAAGAGCTCGCTTCACTACGGAAGCCCTTAGAAGGCACATAACTATGAACCACACCAGCTGTGTCAACAACTCCGCAATGCAATCCGTCTCCTAGGCGATACTTGAAAAATCCTCCACCGGTGCTCACGTTGGCTGGTAAGAAGGCTAGTCGGACAGGGCTCTGTCGAAGTTGATGTGCGCAATGCGGGTTCTGCAGTGGGAACGGAAGCAGTGACGGCGGACAGACGAAGTCAGCACCCATACATCCAGAGCCGCAATTCTGACAAATTATCTTTGCCTTATTCAAAGTATACTGCCATGGACGTTCCTCTGGGTCATCATCACCAGAACAGCAGCGCGTTTTGAAGGCGTAAACGGGGCAGAGCATATCGCGCCCTCAGCAGAGCAGTCTTCCTATCATTCTGCAAAAAACAATAAGAGGAGGATTGAAGACAAACTATGATGTACATTGGTAGAGAATGTAAAAATTAGAACAGTATACGCGCCTCTTTGAAGACCAGCAAATGAAATCTGTCAAAGTTAAGTCCAAAAATGACCCTGGCAGAGGGATGGCCAAAATATGTTTTCTGACAAGCTTAGGACGTTTCGTGCTCTTGATTCAATAGACTTAAAGCTCTACAAAAACCAGTGGATGGGCCGAGGATTGAGCACCTACCGCCTTCCTCAAACGCCAGAAGAATATGTAAAATATCAGCACTGAGACCGAGTCATCTGAGGCCCCATCAGTCTGTCGGTTTTTCAAGATGGAATTAACGCATCAAACTGTTTTAGTATATGCTAAGACCTTGTTGTTGACAGTACGAAGTGTACGTAAATGTAACGTTTTTATCCCACTCTGTTCGTACGTATACACTCGATGACTTGTCTAGCAAACTTGTTTAATAATTTTTCCGTGTCTGACATCTTCAGTGTTATCGGCCCTTACACAGATTTAGCGACCTTCAAGGACGGGGACAAGACAGCGTCAAGAGGGTCAACAGCACAATTAAATATGCTGGTAATCCGCAGACTACAGACTGATTTAGCAACCGCATATTATAAACAAGGGACAGCAAAGGGTAGGGAGTAAGAAACTCTAATTACAGTAATATGAAACAGAAGAGCCAATGGGGGGTACGATAAGGTTCAACTTGGAGGCCTGGACGGAAGGATGTCGACCAGTTCCAACTTCTCTGTAGTACTCTACAGGTCATCATTTGTAACTCAAAAGATGAACCCACGATAATCATCCCGACTTCCAAAATCCCGTCTTACTTAGGGTGTCCCCACAATCAAACTTGGCGTCGTTAACCCCCCTCCCATTCCTAAGCTTGAGCCCTGTCCGCAAGGTTCTCCACTGTCATAGTCTCTATGGTCTCTTCTCTAAAAGGAAGCGGTACTAAATGTGAGGGGAGATGGATACTGTGGTACTTATGGCTATAGATAATCAACCCCGGTATGGCGTAAGCTTGTGAA